TGGAAAGACTACCTTACACAGTCCACTGAGAAGGAAGAGTAAAAACAAAAATAATGTGGACCCTCAGATCTGTGGCATTAGGAGCCGGGTCAATTAGACAGATTTAAGTGATTGATTAATTAAATTAACTTGAGAAATCAGTGCATTAAAAGACTCGATCATCTGGACATCTGTAATCGGTATCATTGCAAGAAGAGAGAATTCGAGCCAAGAACCTCATATCCCACCCTTCATAATCACTTCACCTCTAATGTGGGCCTAGCCGAATGCATAATAAATATATTGTAAAGACAATTTATTCATAAAAATAATATGAAATCTTGGGCATTTAGCGCTTAAACAATCGCATTATAATGACAGACTGTATTTATGTCAGGATCAAAAAGAAGAAAACTTATTAATCGTGACTTTTTGAAAATTTGTTATGAAAAAGTTATTGCTCGAATATTTGGTTTCTCATTAAATATTATATGTGAAATGTTTTCATATATTTTAATATTTGATTAACACTATTAATTATTGTAAGACAAATATGTAACATTAGAATTTTGTAGTTAAAATATTATTTTTGTAAACAGACTTAATTTAATTACTTAAAAAATGCTTTGTTGAGATGAAACACGAAGAATAATGACCAAAAGTGTTTATCATCTTACAAAACTTTTAATATAATATATATAAGAGTGAGCTTTTTATTATATATGTAAATTAAACTGTTCTATTTTCAGCTTTCCCAGAGGTAAAGTATTAAAAATATTTAATAAGTTGTAAATACTAATTTTTAAAACAGTATAAATAGGCAGTTTCCATATTTTAGTATGTAATTTCCCGAGATTTGCACCTTTTCACAATATTATAGTATTTATATACCGTGTTGGTTCGAATATTAGTCGACGTTTTTTCTTACTTTAAATCTTTGAATCCTTGAAATATTTCGACAATTCAAATCAGTATTGAAGAAGATTAAAATTAGGTACCAGCAGGACGATCCACAGAAGTGAATTCGCAACATCACAAAGAATTGTGCGAAGCCACAAAAATTGCAGAACCAGTTGAGGTAACAGAGATATGTTAATAATTAACCTTCTCGGCACGGGGCTGTATGTCTGTCGTAGTGTAGTCGTCATGTCAAACTGGACCACCGAATTGGCATCGGTAGCGGTATCGGATATCGGTAATCTTGCTTCCTTCTGTGGAGGAACGATGGCCGTGGACGTTTTACGATCAGAGATGATTATCTGAACGTAAAACGAGCAGGAACGGTTGAAATGACGTATTTGTACACCATCCAGAGACAGGTACAAAGTTTGCTATCGGACCGTCTATGTTATTGTACCATTGGTAGGCAAAAGCAGAGAAAAATTTGCATACTACCACGCGTCGCGCTATTTGNTTTTATAATAAAAACTTTTTACATTTTTTAATTACTATAAAATGGCACAAGCTTAATTTTGAGGGTAGGGATAAGTTTTATAAAAGTGTGTAAATGTTAATAACGAATGAAATCTTTATTAAGTCCTACCCCTTTCGAGATACATGACCTACATTAAATTTTGGTGGTGTAGGGTCGAGAGGATGAAGTGATAGATGGTGATTACTTATCATATCTCTTATTGGATCGGACTTGATAAAGATTTTACTTGTTAGCATTTACAGATTTTTAAAATAAAACTCATCTCTATTCTGAAAATTAAGTTTTTTGCATTTTTATAATTAAAAACATTTTAAGTTTTCGTAAAAAAATCTCATAACACATGGCCCTACACAATTTTATTTCTTTATTATAATTAATAACATAAAAGTTATTTTTTAAATAAAATCTCATAACTGCCGGGAAAGTTACGCAGTTCGTTGATAGATTTTTTTAAGTAACAATATATCCAAACAAAAATATCTGAATTTAATATTAAAAAACAATGGGATCGGTATAAGTAATAAATACTAAAAATAAAGAATATTTCTAGTTCTAAAAACAAGTAAAAAATACTCTGACTTCTTCGACTTCAAGGACATGTTTAACATGTATTATTATACATGTTAAACAGACAAACTAATGATGAAAACTTAAACTTTCGTTATTACCAGCTTTTTTATTCCGCTTTTTTTACAATTGATATATTCCAAATGCATTTCGCTTAACAAGTAAGCCTCATCAGTGGATACATTCACTGATTTTGTCTGTTTAACTTTTGTTTACAAACTAATGGTAACTTTTGTTACGAGGTAACATTAGTTTGTCTGTTTAACTTGTATTGTTCCTCGAAGTCGGAAGAAGTCAGAGTATTTTTACTTGTTTTTAGAACTCGGAATATTCTTTACTTTTAGTATTTAAAAATATCTGAGATTAAGAAATTTCGCCAAGTAAAATTTATGACAGTTTAGATGACAATCAACTGTTTTTTTTTCTTAGGAGTTTTCCTTGGTAAAAATAAGCTTGACGCTTCGAAACGAATTGTAGTAAACAATTATTATTAATGCCTACATTTTGTTATGATAATCTGTTTTCTTTGGATATCAATTGTTTTTCGGTTAATAGAAGCTTGAAAATATATTTTTTTCTGAATACAGTATTGTGTTATTACATCAACACGCAAGACAATGACGTACAAAACGTTATAAGAAAAATTATTATGAAAGTTTCAATTGACATAAATTTGAGCTTACGTTATCCTGGATAACATTTTGAATGAAAAGCTTCGATGAAAGAATTTTATCTTTAGAAATATAAAATTAAGCGATAAAAGTAAAATAGCTTTATGAAGAATCCCCATGAACTTTGACCTATTGACCCGGAAGTTGGGCGAACAGCTCAATGATAACGAGAGAGGCTTAAGTCTAAAATATGAGTCTTCTAGACCCAGTAGGTTTTCCTCTATGAGCGTCTGCACTGCCGAATGAAGAAGAAAATACAGCTTTTTTTGGTGATTTTTGCGCTTTTCGATTGCTTCTATTTCGACAACCCCTTTGTAGAAATATCTGAAATTTGGTACATTACATAAGAAAACGATTATCTTTTGAATAAGATATTCGGAATTACTTTAAGTATTTGGGGAAGGCAGAAATCAATTCCGAAAAATCAGAAACTCTAATTTCTTTATATATATACTTGGAGGAGAGTCACTGCCATGACATTCGACAATTATTATTCTTACTGGAATATTTTCTTATAAGTTTTCTATATTCGAACTGTTTAATTAAATAACCTAGTTCAGGGGTGGTGAATCTATGGCACGCGTGCCCAAAGTGGCACGTAAGGAGAAATCATCTAGCACGTAATGTATCATACGATTTCTGTCTTTTCAATCATCTTTTCCGTTTATCACCTGATCATCCTTTTTTCAATCAGCTTTTTAACATTTATTCTAATTAAAACGTATTTGTTTAATTTCTTTAAATATCGTTATTCGAAGTCTGAAACTTTGGCACTCATAAACATCTTTAAAGCTAAGTATGCTTACAATATGGCACGTGAACACAAAAAGGTTCGCCATCCCTGACCTAGTTGAACAACAAACAAAATTAATTACTTAAAAAATGCTTCGTTAATATTACATGTGAAAATAAATGACCAAAATATTTATCGTATTACAAGACTTTTAACATATATATAAGAGTGAATAATATAACTGACGTAAAGTATTTTTCTATTGTTCCTTTATTCCGCACTAAGGCAAGTATCAATTATACAGTATATATTAAGTTTTAAATTTTTTTAAGTTTTGACTTCCAGCCTGTAGGCACTAAGCAGCCATGGTGGCCTCTTAATGGACCACAGATTCGATCAGATCCATAATAGCGGCGGACGAGTGGTAGAGAAAGCTGCACTAATTATGGAGATTGGTTCGAAATCGATTCCCATAGCCAATAGAATGATACTTTATCATGCGATCATCTGGGCATCGTCATCAGATAATTCTGCAATAAAGATGCCATTCTATTACTAACAGGATCTTTTTCACCACATCCATTGTGAGTTCGGTCAGATACACAACGGGGATGGCCGAATTGTGAGTCACTGGAACCGACATATCCGGACTACCCCATAAACAATTCCTGAGGAGTTTATCACACGGATTGGATCTTAGATTTCCCAGAGTGGTAGGCTGACGTTTAACCGCCTCGATTATTCTGCCGTTCCTCTGGGACAATTGAAAAACTATAGCAACAACTGTAATTCTTACGTTGTTACCAAGTGTTACAAATTAATCCATCAACAAATTTATAATCTTCCACTTTTAGCCTTTTTTTTCTTACTAATGTCGCAATTTTTTTTTTCAAATTTAACGTAGTCTAAATTTTTCTGAATTTTCATGTATAGTTCACTTCGAAGTTTGTTAAAAATGTGGTATAGTGTATGATAGAATAAGCCGACATTCAGCAACATATACTGAAAACTCTAAATCTAATCCTAATCTAAATCAGTTTTCTCGATAACAAGAAATTAAAGAAAAATAAAAGAAAAACATTATTTTGGTTCTTCAGAATGATTACAGTTATGGCCCCATTGTATGCCAGGTAATGCCATCAGAAGCTCGCAGAAGCTTACAATTGTCAAAATTTCAGTGTTGTTCGGCAGTCTTCGAACTATACGGTACAAAGACATTGAGCACAGCTAAAAGAGCTGTGCTCAATGTCTTTGAGAAAAACAATGTCATTAAGCTGAGAGAAAAAAGTGCCGTGTTGCCGAATTTCCTACATCAGCCGTTTTGATCTGGCTTGAGGTAAAAGATGCGTTAGGCCATCATGTAAGGCGAGAGCTTTAGATGACCCAGATAGACCACGAACAGAAACGCTCGTCTGATCACAACACAAGCATGATAATGCTTTCAGTAGGGTCTATGTCTTTCATCCAAAAACAGGCAAAAGGCACACTATTAAACCCTGTATTTGTTAGTTACGGCAACTCAACACTTGGGCGATTTGCCTAGGGAGGATGCTTTCCGGGAGGATTTTTTTAAGGGAAACTGCCACTATTTAGGCGTTACAGACGTGGAAAAAACCCAGAAAACTCCACGTGACCACCCGTCCGAGTGAGGCGCGAACCCACAACCGAACTTCCAGTGTTCAGGGAACGAAAACCGCTTGGCCACTGGTGAGCCGCAAAACCCCGTGACTTCCAGTATTTTTGACAGACGACTAGCAGAAGCAAATTTGCATATTCGGCAGCCTATACGCACCCCAACATCATCGGCTTAGTTTGCAGTGTCGATGTGACAGAGAAGTGTGGACATCTACAAACTGGCAACCTATCTTGTTAAACGATGAATCCCGATTTTATTTGGGAACAGACGACCACCTAATTAAAGGACCGGTGGTTGCTACAAACAGCCATTTTCCAGCAAGATAATGCACGGCCATACATTGCTAGGATTTCCAAAATATGATTTCGTCACACTTCCTTAACTTGCTCTCTCTTCAGATTTGTAATACTATCGGGCGCCACTTCGTCCTTCTACCAGTGTCAGGGACCTGAAGCGGTATTTGAAACATCCACGAGGAAATCTGTGGCCGAATACCATATTGTGTTTGTGTGTTTCTATTCCCGACTGTATCTCTTCACCTGACCAAGTAAGAGAAAGTTCGAAAAGTTACTAAAAGTTCTTTTAAATTGCACCTTGGCTTAATAGGAAATTTTCCTTTTCTATGATATATTAAAATCACTTATTACTACCGTTTTCACTAATAAAGTTTCATTCGATTGCAACGTCACATTCTTGACGCGTAGCTTTTTTGTCAACGAAAGTATATGTATTTTATATATACAATAATTTTTTACGGAAACGATAAGTTGATTACGTCGTAAATTACTTTTAACCCCAAAACAGTTTTAGGTCTACTGTAACTAAAGGTATAAATGCGATTCGACTGTATTCTGTTTAATGGGTTTCAAATTAAATCTATTATATTTTAAAATTTATAAATAGTGATAATTTCAGATAATTCACCGTGTTCTTTATTTAATGTAAAAAATAATGAAAATTTTGAATAAGAAATATAATGATATTTATATTTCACGACCAGACAGTTGAGACATTAAATTAAAGACATCTTTCAGCAACTCTGAGGAACTGAGTTTTAATCTGGATCAGAAACTTCAGGCCATTTTTATAGGCCTTCTATTCCGGATATATTACGGTCAAATCCATAATGGGTATCATTAAAACTACTCTTTTAAAGCCGTTACAACAAAAGAAGTAACTGACCATTGAAATTTAGTGAAGTATAAGCTTACTCAAATTACAAATTTTATTTATTAATATTGTATTAGACGCTATTTTCTTTTCAGTTGTGAAAATTATGGTATGATGAAATAAACATAATGATAATTGGATAATTTTCAGACAGAACATCATGAATTACATAATTCTGATCCTATTAGTCACATCCTTATGCCAAATTTTACCTGCAAATACATACGATGCCAGTAAGGTCAATTCATCTTCATGGCATCCGGTACAGGTTTTTTTACGTAGTACTTTACTGTACACGCAGAAAATTCAATTAAAATATAAATTATTGTATACGTTTTAGATTTCAAAAAGAGATAGCCCGATCGAATGGAAAAGTTGCAACGATGATGGACCAGTAAGAATGACTAGTCTTGTTTTATTTCCGAANTTTATTTATTCGCTATTAGATATAATTATAAAAGTATTTAAAATACGTTTCTCATATATTCGTTTGTATTTCCAGAGTTCCTACTTCTTACCACCTGTTTCATTTAAAATACCAGATATTCCCCTTGCTGACTTCTTAGCCAAAGGAAGCTACAAAGCAATCGTAAAAGGATCTCAATTCGGAAACGAACTATTTTGTTACACTGTATTTTTTGCATTAGGTTAATAGCAAATATGTATTTTTATCAAATGCTTAACCACGACGAATTTTGAATATATTGTATTTTAGTTTATTAAATTTATAATTGAATAAGTTGATTGCACGGTTTAAATTAAGCTTAGACCGAATACGAATCACTATTAATTAATGCGCTGTCAACGATAATTATTCACATGTTTTTTCTTTGACAAAACATTAGATTTCGATAAGTGAAAATAATCTTTAAAGACTAGCCAAATTTCCATTAAAGTCCGTTTAAGTCCAGAGAGAGAGAAGCCAACAGCATTAACATATGGTCTATGAGTGAGCCTAAATATAAATGTTCTTTAAAATTCAATTATGAATTATGGCAATGTCGAATCCATCAATAAATAAACAAAATTTGCTGTTGTATCGTGTTTAATTCGAATATATATAAAATTAAAACACTATTTAAAAACAAAAGCTTACAATTTAAAAAAATCAAAGAATTTTTTTAAATTGTAAGTTTTTTGATTTTAAATAGTGTTTTAATTTTTGCTGAATTATGTACTGTACAATGTAATATGCTATATGTATAAATTTTGGGGAATGCAACTGTAGTATGCTAATTTAATGTTTGTTGTATTTTTAGAGAAAAATCTTAATAGAATTTTGTAAATTATCTTTCAAAGTAAATAAATAAATAAAAGCATGATTAAAATTAACTTTTAAAAGGCTGCCAAATTTAACGTTTCAAAAGTAATTAATCCCTACAATTGAAAAAAATCGAAATGTCCAACTTTTATCATTCAGAACGTGGGCAATTTTTATTGATCACATGTCACTGAGAAGATACAATAATCATTCTCGCTGGTGGTCCCGAGTTCGAGTCCGATCCATTTTAAAAAGCTTCATGAATGTCAGTCCCAATCCTTCATTGTGCGGCTACACAGTTTATGTATTTGGTCGAATCGAAATTGCTCTGGTCAGCCGTTGACCACGAGGGGCCATGTTAGTGTTTTTAGCAACTCGGCCACTGACAAAACGTTCTTCTCTGGAGAATCGGAACCTAATGAGTGTCGAGAACACTCGAGTTTTTCAAAAGCAGTTTGGCCCAAAAATATCTATCCTTGTCACTCGATGCCCAGTCACCGTTGCGAACTTCGGCAAATCTATAATGATAATGGAAAAAGCCGTCTTAGTGATCACGAAAGAAAGAAGTTAAATTATTAATTTATTTATTTGCAATTAGTTACAAATAAATATATTAGTAAACATGTTTTAAATTTCTTTATATTTCCAGAAATCATACTCCATACCACTAATTAAATTCGATATGCCAGACGTTTTCGTTCCACGAATTTTTTAGGGTTACTACAAACTAGTTCTAAAAGGATCTCAATTCGGGCACGATCTTTTCCTTTTTATGTATACATGACAAGGAAAAGTATTGGGATAATGTTTTAAATGTTTTATCCTCTGGGTTTTGGCAAATTTCCATTTTTGAGACTCCTGAACCACCCAAAAAAGAAAAAAAAAATCTGAAAAAATTTTGTGATCCAGGATGGGTTAAAAGATTAAGAATCGAAATTTGGCACGGTAGCTCGTGTATAAGGGGCATTGATGCTGTTAAATTTTGATGGTTGATGGGCCAGAGGTAGGGAGATAATCACGTGTCACATCTCGAAAGGGGTCGTATTTAGTTAATGAAGCTTTTACTCCTTAATACCATTTACAAGTTTTATAAAACACATTCTTACTCTCAATATTAAGCTGTTTGCCATTTTTTAATTTAATACTTAATAATATAAAAAGATTTTATAATAAAATCTCACAACAGATTGCGCCACACAATTTTTTTTTACAGTATTACCATTAATAACATAAAATTTATTTTTAAAATAAAATTTAGCAACAGTTGGGAAACTTACGCAACTTATTGCTGGATATTTTTAAAACCATAATAACCTGCTTATTGTTTGAATTTTTACATTATAATTGTTTGTTTTGAAATAATATTTTATGTTTGGTTGAATTGAATGTATATGTTATTATACAGTGCGATCGTAAAGTCCCTCCGCAGCAGGCGGGAAAACGGGAGGCACTTCCAGGAAAGAAATAATGATACCATAGGCAGACCGCGCGTAGAGAGTTAAGCAACTCGTTGAATTTTTTTTATTCTGTTAATAAATTATGGTTCATTTGTATATAATTTACAAACTATTTTAACGACTACGAATATCAAGATTTCGGTTGATTAAATCCCGGTTAATGCGCTATTATACGATGTATAATAAAGTACTTGTAAAGAAATAAGTATAATGTTAATGCACTGTACTATAACCGCGCTACTTATCTTCAATTAATCAATCAATCTCAAGAATAATATTCATCCAATAATTACTTAGATATCAAATTTAATATAAGGGAAATTTGTATGCACAATATAAACAACAGGCTAAGGCAACTGCACATAGAACTTGCAGTAAAATGGCTAATAACCACCTCTGAAACTTTACACACATTACTCAAAAATGGATGATGAACCTCTTCAGAAATTAGAAGAAATGAAATTTAGATGAGCCCAATGGTTTGGCTTGCTTGAAGGTTTGCAGGAATGACTTGAAAAAGTGTAAGGCTTTTTATAGCAGATAAGGTGGTGGTCAGGTTTTTTGTAGCTTTTTGATATTGTGATAGAACTCGAACAGTCTTCATTAATGGCCAAGTCAGAAGACTATCAAATAGGTTTTTCTTTCTGCTGGAAAATGATTTTGAGAGTAAGGTTGGGTTTTTCCAGCTAGATAATGCATTCATTTGTAATTTCTACTCAACTGAAATACAGCTTATAGAAAAAATCTTAAAATTATAAAATGACCTGCAAAGTCTTGAATCCAATTTAGAATGTGCAAAAATGTTTACATAGGCAGATACAGAAAATTTTATGAAAGTTAGAATTGCAGCAGCAAACTATAAACTTTCTGGCTTAAGTTTTCCATTGCAGATAGGCTTCATCAAGGAAAATGGTCACCACTTCAAATTTTTAAAAATACTATTTTTGTATTCTTTTAACTATGTTTCCATCCAGACAAAATATTTCTAATATTTATTGAAATGAACTCAAAATTAGAAAAAAGCATATATGCACTCCTCAAAAGTGAAATTGCAACACCACAAAGGAATGTGCTTAGCAGAACTGGTGAGAGATATGCAAATGACTAAAAGAACAAAGATATGCAACAGACATCTGCTTATTCAATAACAAATATGGCCACCACAGTCAGCTATATGGCCAGGCATACTATCAATGAGGCAATTAATGGTTACCTGTAGTATCTCTTGCCAAGCTGAGTCCACTGCCACACATCTATGATGTGTGAAGTGATCCCTGGTACATCTCGTGTTGGATGAAATCCCATGGGTGTTCGATGAAAGAGAATTCCAGTTGGACTGCCAGCTGGGGAAGGATGCAAATTCCATTCGAGCCAATGAGAGTTCGCCTTGTGATGTGCAGTTGGACATTGTCTTGCTGAAATGGGCATTGTTGGATACAGCTTGCCAGTGGCTGCTGAACCACAAGCCCCACAATTCATATGACATACTAGTCCACTGTCAGAGTATCAGAAATGTGCATTGGGGCTGTCTGCTGATTGAACATGATGCTTTCCCAAACTACAATGCCTGGTGTGGGACTGGTGCAATGCTCAGTAAAAAGAGTTGATATATAGCATTCCCTTGGATACCACCAAAAACATCATTTCTTCACAGACAGAAGCGGGATTCATCCATAAACTACTGATGTCAATCAGTGGTCCAGTTGCAATGACAATGTCATTATGTCAGGCTTGCAGCCCTGTGTCGAGCAGTTAATGGCACCCACATTGCTGGTTGCAGTGTGTGCAGCCTGACTTCACCCAACCCATTGCAAGTGGTTTGGATGGACAAAGACACACCGTTGATGGTGACAGGCCACTTTGGATGTCATGTGCCATGGGGAATGGGTCCTGACAGACCGTTTGGTGAATCTGCCTGCCCTGCCCATGAATTGTTGTATGCTGGTGAAATCCACTCCCTCTTCAGTGTGTTCGCAGATGTTCCTGCGTCCGTCATTTCACACATCACTGAATGATATGTCATGCCTAATATGTGTGGCAACTATGTGCATCAAGGTCATGCAGCTCCAGGATACAGTCGTGTTTCCCAGCCATTAACTGATTGTTTTCAGCTTGTTGTCTGAGGCATTTTCTACACTTCTTCAAAAGTTTGGCTGCTGCAAACCATTGCTGATAGCATTTAAGCATGAGCAGGGTGCTGGTCTTTATAGCCATAAAATGGGTACCACATGACCCGATGTGTACACAAGCTTAATCATTTGCACATATCTGTCATCTCTATTGATCCTGCAATTTGCGTGTAGCCATGTGCAAATTGCAGGACCAATCTGTGATCAACACTCCTCAAAAGTTAAATCGCATATATACATTCTCTGCTGAAAAAAGAAAGCCCATGTGCTCCAAATGAATATTTGTTTTTCTTCACTAAAAAAACAGTCTTTTTGATGTGATTTAGGAAGGTTTAATTGCTTGTATTGAGACTTTGAGAAAATAGCTCAAATCTTCAACACAAGCAATTAAACTGTCCTAAATGATATCAAAGTGTTTTCTCAGTGCTTTCTGATTTTGGCTGCTTATTCATAATTAATGAAGAAGTGTCAACATTTTCAGTACCACACACATTTTTATTTATAAATGTATCACTGCATTAAGAGAAAACAATTCTCCTGCTGTTTTAAAACCAAAATGGATTTAAGCCAGGAACACAAATGCATAATGTAAGGCATATATCAAAAAAATACATGAATATTTTCTGAAGTTTCTGCCATAATCAAGTAGAGTACATTTCTTTTTACACAATAAAAAATTTTCTATTAATTTTAACCAGTAGGAGAAATCTCTCATTGTAATCAGCAGTGCTAGATCAATGGATACTTGTGCCTTAGATGCAACTGACTTTTCCACCCCTTTCCAGAAGTCACCAACAGAAAGCACTCTAGATTAATATGCCTCAATGTCCTTAATTTATTATATTATTATTTCATCCACTAGTACATATCTATTAGCAGGACTTATTAGACTGGCTTGAAAGATGATTGGATAATTAACAAAAGAAGTGAACAATTTTCCATTCATGTCTCACAGGTTTTGCCTTAGGATATTTTGTAAATTTGATGGTAACTACANTTAATAGATATGTACTAGTGGATGAAATATTATTATAGAAAGCACTCTAATATTATAGAAGATACTCTTGTATGAAGTATCAATAAACAACTTCAAACTATATTTAAGGAACTTCTGTTTTTGGCTTATTATTTTCTCTTCTTTGAACATCTTTGGCTGCCCCCCACTCATCTTGCCACTTGAAGCAGTCGCCTCATCACTTCATCCATTGTACAGGCCCTGATTAATAGGCTCTATATTATTAAAAATGACTCTTTACACCAAAATATATAGAAAGCATAAGATGTTTAATGATGATTGGATAATTAACAAAAGAAGTGAACAATTTTCCATTCATGTCTCACAGGTTTTGCCTTAGGATATTTTGTAAATTTGATGGTAACTACAATTTTCCAGATTTGCAAGTTTTACTGTACTATACCACTGTCTTACTGAAAATAGAAAGTAGTACTGTAATTCTATGCAGAAAAACTTAAACCAGAAATGGCAATATTGGGATGATGTATCAAAAGAAACTCTGTAGAAATAAGTTATACCAATGGTGCAGGTGCACTTGGTAGGTAACATTATCAGACTGAATGGGAAGTCAATTGACTAAGAGAATTAACTGACAAACTTTAATTGTTACAAAATTCCATAAACTTTGTGGACACATTTTTTTGTTAAATTCTTACAATTCTTTAATAAACTTCATACTAATATGTTTAAAACTGGTTTATTTATTGTAAAATTATATTCATAGTGCATTTATAATAATTCAATAAATCTTAACATTTGGTGTTCATAAATTTTCTGAAAATACTCCATTCCATTAACTTTTTGACAAACTCTAACTTTTTAAATACAATCTGAATTCTGTTTTATTGGAGTGAGCACAAGTAAAAATTGTTTGCCACTTCCCTAATACTTTCGAGCAACCAAGATCATCACCAGGAGAACATGTGTGATAAACTTCTTACCAAAATCACTGATTGCTGTTCATGCATACATCATTAGGTTAAATGATTCAAGTAAAACAAAAATATTGGCCTGATAACAAAAGTCAAAAACTTCAAACAATTTAGATAAGAATTCTATTGTTGGTGTTCTGATGATGAGCTCCAATTGGCAAAAAGTGATGCAGTGATTGATTTAAATGTGTATACTCAATAAAGTGGAATTTGGATTATTACGTTTTATGAGCATTATCATCATGAAGTATCATATGCTGTTTTAAATTATATTTTCTTGAAAATCCTTTTTTGCAAACTTCACAAATAAAAGGTTTTTCATTATTGTATGTTTTCAGATGAGAATATAAATTGTAAGGCTGAGTGAATTGACGTTTGCATATATGACATGAAAAAGGCTTCTCTCCCGTATGTAACAAAATATGCTTTTTTAATCCTTCTTTTCGTGAAAAATTTTCTTTACATATTTCACACTGAAAAGGTTTCTCACCAGTATGAGTTCTAGTATGTTTTCTTAAAGTCTCCATACGATTGAAAGTCTGTTTGCAAGTATCACAAGTGAAAGGTTTATCCCCAGAATGAATAAGTAAATGTTGTTTTAAATTACTCTTCTGGGCAAATCTTTGATCACAAACATCACATTTGAAAGGTTTTTCTCCGGTGTGTGTCATCATATGTGTTTTTAAATAAGATCTTTGGTTAAAACCTTGTTTACAAACTTCACAAGTATGTAATTTTTCTCCAGAATGAATTCGTTCATGTCTTCTAAGAGTAGAACTGTTTTTAAACTGCTTTTCACATTTACAACACTTGTAAATTTTCTTATTCTTTCCATCTTCTTCTTCTGTAACAAAGAGAAGTTGAAAAAACATTTTAATATATATTAAAAATTAATACTTTGTTAAAAAATTGAATTATTAATTTAAAAGATACTATGTATTTGCTTTCTTTATAAATTACTATATTCCATAATAAGATATTTGAAAAAGTCTTATGAAATTTTCAACAATTATTCTTTAATCAAATTTAAGCAAATAAATCTGGATGCAAGTTTTTGATTTGAATAATAATTATTTAAAAACACAAGCAAGTCAAAAATTTCCTGTAATTGTGGCATAGTGCTGTAATGGTAAAACATATTGCAATGTCAACACACAGTGTGAATAATCCAACAAGAGAAAAAAACGCACAATATATACATATATTCTTTATTCAGTTTGCATCTTGTTAACAGGATTCTTTTGGATTCCAACACTCTTCACTTTACAATATCTATATTCTTACAGTTAATATCCAGACAGGGTGTAAAGACTTGAACAATTGATTAAGTCTAAGCACCTNAAAAAAAAAAAAAAAAAAAAAAAAAAAAAAAAAAAAACTGTAGCTAAACACTTAAAAACTAATTACATACTATACAGGAAGAAAAGAAATAGACATAGGATAGCAGGATAGATCAGGATAGTAAAGATTGGAGTATCCAAATATAATATATCAATGGTCTTGAAATGATGATGATAATCTCTGAATTCTCTTCTCAAAAATTATATATGGATGGTTCCCGATCTCCACTAGATTCACTATGGCAACTTCCAAAAGTTCTTATATTGAAATATATTGGATTAACTTTTGATACCTGCTTACACTTATCTTTTGTATCTAGTCGCTGATGAAACGACCTAGAGCACTTCTCCACATGGCCTATCTCTGAAATGTTCCAGCCAAGAGGAGAGTCTTGTCCATCTCTTTAGTCGTTTTTCTTTGTTTCATATGTAGGTCACCATCACCCAAAAAGGAGAAAGGTTAGGAAAGAATATTCTAGAAGACGATAGACAAAAGAACAAAGAGGAAGAAAAGAAATAAAGAAAATACATTATATACAAATTATGGCATACTACCATAATATGGAATCACTCATCTAATTACCTTCAAAATAGGACCTTTCAGCACACACTCCCCATCAGTCCTGTCATTATTGGAAGCATCATTAAAAGGCTTTTTTTGGAATATTCAAGAGTTCAGCTGTCACATTCAATTTGATGTCCCCTATGGTTGCAAAATGAGTTCCCTTGTAACCCATTTTCAGCAAAGGAAATAGCCAAAAGTCACTCAGGTAGAAATCTCATGAGAATGGTGGTGGATAATGACAGGAAGTCTTTTGTCAGAAAAGAATTATTCACAAATGATAAGTGACTGTGTGTGTGTTTGTGTACAACAAGCAATGAAATGTTATCATTATGCAGAAAACATCTCTGGAGAGTGGTTTCTGTATCACAGTAACATGCCATAACATCCCCACTACTTGTTGTCTTCAAACCAAATTTCAAAACCTATGCAAAACTTGCATGTAGAAATGACCAATGTGCACAATAGCCAAACTCCTAAATATTCCAAGCCTTCCAATGGTGTTTCAAACAATGATGGAATCAATGGGGCAAGTGTGTATATGTATGTTGAAGGGTTCTACTTTGAAGGTGATTGGATAAAAGTTTATAATGTTATAAACTTTTATCCAAATTCCAAGAAATTTTTGACTGTCCATATATTATCATAATTTCTTGCTTATTATAATCCTTTTTTGTTGGTGAAAAAACTCAATTATGTAATTTTTATAAGTTTGCATGGTTATTTATTTGCTTTTTTAATGCTTCAGCAATGAAATCATGTAAATTGTAAAAATATTTAATAATTACAAAAATAATTATTCTAAAATTTAGCAAAATACAATAAAATGAAATAATATTTCATTTTAAAGCAGCAAAATTCAAAATTGTTATATTATTCAATTTTAAAATCCTTGTTGATATTTACATCTGCTGAATATTTGTCAAAAGAAAAACCAAATCAAAAAAATACTTCAGGATACTTTGAACTACTTTTACAGCATAATAGTTATTCAATATAGTCAGAGTCTGCTGGAAGCAGGTAAAGCAGGTTCCAGTTTATAACACCAAGCTTCAGGGAGCATCAATGGTTTTCCAGAACTGAAGTATATTTCCTTCCACATTTATGTTATTTTTCAATCGTTTTACCTTATGACTTCTTAATTTTAATACAACCTTTACAAATAATTGGCTTTTATACTTTAAAACAAGGTCAGGCTAAAATTTTTAACTTGAACATGTTTTATAATTCAAGAAATTTTCGGCAGTTTGATTTATGCCATGATTCAGCATATTTTTATTTTGAATTGGCTGCAATAGTGATGGGCAATAATTGTATCATAATCAATCGATAACAACATTGAATGCAACAAGAAGCATTCAATATTCTATCAAATATTTGACAAATTATTTGCAATACTATCAAATATTTTGAAAACAGAAAATAGGCAAACAAAAATATAACAAAACATATTTTATTGCACTTTTAATACACTATTTACAAAATTCACATATGAACTAATTGTAAGGTCACTATATAGTGAGTTTAATTCATAGTAATTCATTTTACTAAATTTTTCTTTTTTGGTTGCAAGCAATTTTATTTTTTGAATTTTATTTGAAGCTTTGGAGAAAATTCTCTCATTAGTTACTGGCATTCCAACCATGCATAAATATTTCACCATAAATTTATATTGTTCCAAATTCATATTTCAAAAATTTTTGGATTTTCTTTTCTTTGGAAAAATTTGGATTTTCTTTTCTTTCTACTATTGGTACATGAAAATAATGGAGGAGAGGAGTTAATTCTTCCTTTATTACTAGAATTACCCCTCAGACAATAGACAATCCTAGTAGACAGTCAATGCAAGTAATCACTATATTATCATTCTATTAAATTATCTGATACTTCACAGTAGACTACACTAAAGTTATTCAATAGTATTGATATTACATCATCAACAACTATCGCCTAATTGCAAGTAAACATGTGTAAAAAATGGAAGAAATACAAATTGAAAAAATGCTTGTTGTGATTGTGTTAATTTCAAAAAGAAAGTATTATTGGAATTAGTAGGGATTATTGAAATTATTATAAGAAATTACCAGAAAATAAAAAGACAAATGCTACTTCTTCCAAGTGGAAAAGAGAGATACCTGCCTAGGAAGTATTATGCAAAGTATACAATGGTACTCAAGATGGCATGCAAAGAAATAATAAACAAATTGTGGGATTATTATAAAAATTTAAAGAAAAAAAAAACCTTGAAAAAAAGGTATAGACATTTTTCATTCACAATGAATATGACCATTATGGGTTCAGTTAGGCCCACAGTGGGATGACTGAGTTATGAGAGATGAAGCCTGACATATGTGGGACAGGTGTCCATGAAAATTTCCAGGGGTTTTTTTGACCATCCAGATTCAATCTCAGATCTCCAGAGGTAGACGGATGCTTTAATCACCTCAGGTATCCAGCTGTCTGAGTTTATATTTGAAGGAATGATGAAACAAGATTAAACAAGAAAGGATATTTAAAAATTGTCTAGGGTATTATAAAAGAAATTAATGTCACCTACTTTAAGAGATCATTTTCATCTAATTAGAAAACATAAGATAATTTTCAATATTCAACATAATATACAAAAACAGAAAAATTAATACACTGTTAAAACATTGCTTGGACTTGGAAATTTACTTAATAGGCAAAATCAAACAAATATCAAAAATTGATTTTGTCTCTGGGATAAAATATTTACAAAACTCATAATAGTGAAGACACTTGAATTTATATGTAAAAGAAAACTGACATTTTTTTGCTGCATAATTTATTTATATCATCCATTATATATCTTACTAACTATACTCATTTTCATAGTCAGTGCAGAACAAAACTTTTCAAAATTAAAGTTATTAAAAGTTAAAAGACTTTGATCGCATAGAAAATATTAAATAGATTATCTGCATTAGTCAAACAGCTTTTGCTGAAAGGGGAAAAACTATCTTTAATTTCTATCATGTAATTTCTAATTATTATTTGTAGAATAATATTGCCCGATTAATTTGGCTAATGTTTGGGGTTGATTATTAATACATTGAGTTCTTGAGATGTTCATATATCTAAAAAAATCATTGGAAATTTGCAACAATAAAGGTTCAGTTTTATTTTAACTTAAATATACAAAACATATTCTTAAACATGTTTATGTTTTCTATGCATTTATTACTATTTTTATCAATTCTATCATTTAAAAAATAGTATTATTATTATTTTCTTTGATATTTTCTGATTTATTAAATAGTTTATGTTTGTGTTTTCATAATTATTACCATTAATCCAAAATACAAATTTAATATGCTTAAAAATATATATGGATATTGCTTAGAGTATTATATATTCTTGAGTTGACTCTTAATATAATGTTTTTTTGTGATTATACATTAGATGATGTTCATAAATATATATTTATACAAGTAATGTTTAACTGATAGCTAGAAATCAAATATATATTACTTTACCTTGAGAATCATCCAAATCGTCATCATCATCATCTTCAGAATTATTTTGGTCTTTACCTGATTGTAAGTTACTTGAGATTGATAGAGATTCTGAACTGCCAGCATTTATTTCTTCTTTTGATACAGAAACTATGTATTTTAAATTAATTATTTTATTTTATTTTTACATTATAAAATATATTAATTTTTTTAATTACCATAATTTCATGAGGATAACCTATAACAACATATAACCCCATACCTGCTTTCAAATCAACTTTAAACATATATTACCTACTAGTTATCTAGATGAAATTACAGTAATAATTTATGTAATGATTATATTAGCAATATCAAAAACAAATAATTCTTTTGCCATTAAAATAAATCAGTGTTTGTTGAAAAATCTATAAAGCATGCCTTAAAAATCTTGGATAATAAAATTTTCCTTACCCTCTTCTTGTATTTCATGTATATCTAATTCAGATGTTTCTTCCAATTGGGAATTATCTTCACAGTTATCATTATGACATATATTGTTCAATTCCATCGATTCATCAAATTCCTTATTTCTCGTTAATGAAGAACTATCTAAATATTTTAATGTTTCATTAATTTTAATATCAATATAAAATTATATATTAAACTTCTACTGTCAATGTTAAAATTTTCCATTGCATTGTATTGATTATCAGAATAATTCGTTAAATTATACTGGATCAATACTGATCTTGTTTATTAAATGACAAATTTTACATTAATTAATGACCATTCTATTATTTAAACTCAACTATAAATTTATTCATTTTTTATAAACAAACCTGGTAGTTACATTCTGCAATGAATAAAATAAATCATTTGAATTAATTTTTATTTTTCTGATAATTACCTGACATTTAGCACCAATCAAGCAGCTGATTAAAGAAAAATATCTATTTTCAATGTAAAAAATATTATACAATCTTTTCCATTTCAATATAAGTTAGTGTTGATGCATTTATTTTTATACAATATTTCAATAAATAGTTTAAAAGTATTTATATAATGAAAGCTGAAAGTCTAAGATATTCTTCTATTAGCAGTACCATCAGTTTTGGTAGTTCTTTTTCAAAATTTGTTTTATCACTTCAATTTTTTGTAAGACAGTAAAACAAAAAAGAAAGAATGTTCCTTAAAAATTCTGTCATAATATCATAACAGAATGCATTATACGAGTGATTCTCAAACTGTAGTGCACAAGGCCCTTCTCAGAGGCACAAAGAAAAATTATTGTTATTATGACTACAGTATATTCATTTCATCATGCAAATTTTATTTCATTTAGCAATGAGTATCTCTGTATACTATTTTAGTTTTATTTTTTGTTTAAAATATAACTATATTTTAGTATATAATTATATACTATCAAAAAATTGTAAGATGATCTTAAGATGTATTTTATTCTAAAACAGCTAACTTGTAAGAAAGATAAAAGGTCAATATGTTTTTAGAAAAAAATGTAAAAGGTGCAAGAATTTTTTTTAATGAAACAATAAGGTATCTCTTTAAACAGTTTGAGAACCACTGCATTAATACAATGGAACCTCACTCTTTTCATGCATAACATCTCAAATTTGGTTACCAGAAAGACTAAATAATTTGGTATACAATCCATTATTATCTGAAGTGATATTTATAGGATAAAGAAACATTTCCAAAATAAATGGCCACTGCTGGAGTTTTGACTAAATTTGGTTTTTAAATATTGTATTAAAACTTAAATGAATTCATAAAACAAACTATTTATGAGAGTTCATTTTTTAAATCATAAAATTAAGTAATTATGAATAATACTATATATAATTACAAATCTATAAAATTTAAAAAAAAGTACTGTGGAAATCACATTCAAATACTAACCCAAAGAAACCCGTTGCCGATCATTTTCAGATTCTCTAAACGTATCAGTTAAATCTTTATCATTTTCCAAAGATTCAATTTCTCTAATTTTTGTCGGAGAATCACTATTACCGGAACAGACCGAAGACCTCTTCCTTTTAATCTTTTTCTTTTCGTCAGTCGAAGGTGACATCGACATATTCTCGTTAACAGGAAATAGAATTTCTCCCTCGTTGGTCCTTCTCGCAATATCTACCAAACCTTTAATATTTAGTATTTCTGCAGTCTTAAGGAGTTCTGTTAACTGTTGTTGTGTAACATTAATTTCGCCTTTATAAATGAAATCTATCATGGCTTTCAAATCTGTATATTTGACATCCTTCATTATAACAATGGGATGTTTACAAGGATTTTCAATAAATAAAGCTTGAAAGAAAGGGCTGCAAGCTGATAAAACTATTTTATGAGCCTTGAGGCTTAAACCTTCACAGGCTAATGTCACATCTACTAATACTTCATTGGATAACAGCTCATCGAAACCTGTCAATAAATTTATTTTGTGATTGTCCCATCTCAAGCAAAACTGCTCAGTACCCATTTGAAGATATGTTGACCAATTTATAATTTAATTTATTCTCAAAAAAGCCTGTAATAACAACAAAAATTGCAATAAGTTTTTATTTTTAAAGTAAATTGGTAATGATAAAAATTAAATATATCCTTAATGTATTCAAATTCAAATTTTATAATTAAGCATTTTAATTAATTACACATATCTATTTTTCTTTGTTAATTACAATAACTATTTTATAATTTTTAAATTAAATTAAATTTAAAAACACATGTTTCAAAAGTGAAACATTGTAAGTTTCAACTTCCGGTTACGCATGCGCATTATATTCATAATTTAAATGTAACGATTAAATTTTTAAAAAATATAAATCTTTACGTTTTCCTACATAAAGATATGCATAAAATTCATACAAAGCCATTTTTTTAAATTCTATTTACGTTAATTTTTATTTAGTACTTACCCAAATAATTAACTAACAACAAATTTGTTTAATAGTACTTTGAAATACAGCTACTATTAACGCTCGTTGCGCCACTTGCTTTCGATGTCGATTGCGCCACCTGCCAGTTACTCTTCTTCTTCTTCTATTTTTTTTTTCTTTTTTTCTTAATCGGCAAATTATAAAAATTTGTTTAATTGGAAGCTACTGTTTCGAAATTTCCTGTTTTTAATGTAATTAAAGTATAATAATTTGTAAGAAATTTAAGAGCATAAAATAAACAAAAAACTTCACACGACGTCGTAAGACGCGATGTTTCAATATTAGACGTTTTTATTCTATCTTCATCGCTTTCATGGAGCTATAAATAAACTAGGAAGGCAGTAGTGGAAACATTTCTATTGAAGCCAATCAAGGTCACGCTTGAGGGTATTCCGCCATATTGCGCGGGACAAATTTGTTAGCAACTGAAGGGTAAAAATAATCAGAGAGTAAACTTTACTCTGGAATTACCAGAAAGCCGGATAGTCTCGAATTTGGAAAGCTGTGACACGTTGCGCGATCACGTTATTTTGATTTCTGTGGCGCGTGCATTACACGACGACAGCTCCAATATGACCATGGGCATACGATGTTTTAAAAATAGTTTCATTCTTTACCTTCCATTGTTCATTTTATATTTTAAGTATATATTTAACCTGTGTGTAGAAAATCGGGAAATCCAGAAATCTGGATCTCTTTCCGCTCCACATCTGGTTCGGTACTTGAAAACGAAGCGAGTAAGCAAATTTACTAGCCCAGTATAATTGGTACTGGCTGTATTTCAGTAAATACGTTCATTGTTTCCCGTTAGTAAACATGCTTAATGTAATTGAGCCCTTACATTTAGTGACAGGCAGGGGCGGATCTAGGTTTTTCGGAACCTAGGGCTTATTTGGGGCTTAGGGCTTATTGGGCCTCCAATGGGGCTCCATTTTTTGTTAATACAAATAATACTATAAATTATCATTATTTGCTATAAGTAATAGATATGTATATATCCATGGTGCGGTTTACTTTATATTACTTTTAAAAAATCAATTTTTCAAAAATATTTCCTCAAAATTGATGAAAAAACTTTATGGGTTAATTGTACATAAATAACCCCCGTTTTTTTGCCTGGACCGCATTTAATCAGAGACAAAGCTTTTATTCGTATTCTTTNCCATTAGAATTTGGTACATGCTAGGTTTTACTAAAGACGATTAGTAAATATTGGTTTTGGAACTAAAACTATGAGTATTTTAATAATCATTTATTACAATTATTATAAACAGTCAATAAGTCCTATTTATTAATAACTAGTGAAACAGTTTAAAAATACTTTTTTACTGCTATAAGTTATAGGTATGTATATATCCATGGTGCGGTTTACTTTACATTACTTTTAAAAAATCAATTTTTCAAAAATATTTCCTCAAAATTGATGAAAAAACTTTATGGGTTAATTGTACATAAATAACCCCTGTTTTTTGCCTGGACCGCANAGGAGCGAACGAAATATTTGTTACATTTTGTAATTTGGACCCTACTTCTGCACGTTCTCTAATGAGGTAAGAGTTTGTGTCATCCACGGTTGCGTGACGTCGTGATTCTAGAACACAGTAGTCACTAATACGTTGTCTGAACATTATTACTATATTATTAACATTAACTACTTTTACTATATAATAAGTGTTCATTGTTAATGAAAAAGTGTTAAAAATTTACCTTGGAATTATCTTCTCTTTTTTATTTAGCAGGCCACGAAAATTACGTCATTTATTAGAAAAATGGTAGAAATTTTACAATCTATTTTCTCGTTGTTTTATTTACGTTAATATTACATTAATAATCCGAAAACGTATTAATATTGCGTACGATTATTAAGTTAGTCCCAATTAAAAAAAAAAAAAAAAATACGACAAATACAAATTTTAAGTGTTGCCACCCGGCTGCCGATTTAATCCTCCTTCAAGATGTCGACGGTGAATTCTAGCTCTTCTGTTTATGAAAATTTGATGTTGTAAGTGAGGCGTTTGATTCAATTATATATTTATATTTTCTTAATATTAAGTTTAAACGAATATCGGAGGTTTCGTAAACCGAAATCAAACAACCTGTCTTATATTTGTTTGAAATATTTTAATTTGTTTAATCCCGATTCATTTCGTCGTGAAAATTTAATGTGTATATTTCAAGGGGGATATTTATTTAATTGCTACGTATTGTGAAATATCGTAAATATTAAATTCTACGCTATTTTTACATTAAGTAGCGAAGATTATGGTTATATATTTATGTCTGGTCGTTAAAATTAAATAATTAAGGGATTGATGTTTTAAATTGCCATTAAACAGGTTGGTGATATTTCAAGTAATTTGTACGTACCGGTACGTGTACATATACATAATTTATAGCTTCAGATGATTTTGAAATAAAACAGATATCATTGGTCACAGTAAATAATTTCAATGCGTTAAATATGATGGAATACGCTTTTCATATTTCAAATAGGAATTTTATATTACACACGTTCGCAGATTAAGACATAGATGTTTTAAAGACGATGGTACTATGCTGCTTTGCCATCTGATACTTGCCGAGAAGTCGTTCGTTCAACCAAAATGCTGATGTTTCCTTATTTCGTGGGCTGTCTTCGGGTGTGGAATTCGGAATATAAATTGTTACAAAACAAGATGTTCTGATTTTATATTCCGGATTCCGCACCCAAAGATGGCCTTTGACACAGGCCGAAAACATCAAGTGGTTTTTCCTTTGTCGTTGGGATCGCCGGCTATATTCTGATTAGATAATTCTTGAAAATTCTGTAATTTTGCGTCTGCAGGTGTATGAGAATGTTACCCGTAATTCGACAATCCAAATATTATGGTTTAATTATATTTTATTGGCTGATTACGTACATTAATAGATGCATTTCTGGCCTAGTTAGGTTTTACGTCACCAATACATTAAGCAATCATCGTGAAGTGCATTCTGTGTTATGTTGATGTACTTTTGTATTTAAGGAGACGGTCGAGTCTGTACAAATTACCAATGAGGGCCGTAAAATGTAAGTCGGCTTGAAATGCATCTATTTATGTAAGTAATAGTAGATACAGTGTAGATAAATAGTAGTGTACGTAGATAGTAGTACATAATAGTAGCCAAGTAGATATAATTAAACCTTAAGTTTTGGATTGTTGAATTGCCAGTAGTGTTCCTATACACCTGCAGATGCAGGATTATGGAATTTTCAAGAATAATCTAATTAATGTTTTTGCTGAATAAACATTTCTTGGCAAGCCTTAAGTAGTGTAGTACTGTTGTTTCTCTCTGTTGAGTGAGACTTACTATTGCACAGCCATTTTGTAAGAAACATTGTACAAATTATTACAAGCTTCCTAAAAGTAACTTATAAGTAACTATTTATATTATGAGAATATAAAAGTATCAAATAAAACATTAAAATAATTTATAGACTTTTCTATATGACTATATATATTACAATAAATATAAGTAATATTAACTTGTATGTTTTGTACTAATAATGTATTTAGGTCTAGGATAATCAATTTTTAAAGTTGGTAAGTGAAATATGAGGAGTTTTGTTTCTCATGTTTGCAGAAATATGTGTAAAAATAATTTGTTGCATGTTTCTGCATACTGAAATAATAATAAAAACTGTGGTTATTCAAGATGGAATAGCTACTCTAATTATACATTTTTATTTTTTTTTCAGATCTTCATAACAGGATCCAATTAAAATATTTGTCAAATTCAGAACTTTTTTCTAATACACTCGTAACATGCCATAAAATCAAAATTTTATTAACACTTCACTCATGTTTGCAGAAATATGTGTAAAAATAATTTGTTGCATGTTTCTGCATACTGAAATAATAATAAAAACTGTGGTTATTCAAGATGGAATAGCTACTCTAATTATACATTTTTATTTTTTTTTCAGATCTTCATAACAGGATCCAATTAAAATATTTGTCAAATTCAGAACTTTTTTCTAATACACTCGTAACATGCCATAAAATCAAAATTTTATTAACACTTCATTTATATTTTGTTCTTTCTAAATAATAATAAATATTTTATTTCATATTGTAATTAAATCATAAATATTTAAAGTAAAATATTTTTTGAACTGATAAAAAAACATATTAATAAAGGGAAAATCAAAGGTGATGTGTGAGATTTGACTTACTTAGATAAATCTCAACAAATTAATTATTAATATTATATAACAAGAAATATTATTCAAAGAAAATTTTAAGAAATATTCAAATATATTTTTTTTTAACTTTTATTTTATTTATCAAATAAAAGTTTTAAAAAAAGTTTAAAAAGGGTTTTAATGACTGTGAATTGCTTTCGGAATTTCTATATATTGCTCACTTTCTTACTACTACTGTATCTTAATTATTAAAGCAAATCAGATTCATCTCCAAGAATGAGAAAGATCATAGATAAAGCATAAAATCTTGCAAATCACACATATATATTTGATATGTATTGTGATATATGTATGCCATTAATTTATTTTACTGCTAGATTTTAATAAGCGTTACAATGGATATATGATATTAATTTTATATATCAGATTTCCTAAGAATTAGTGCATAGTATCATTTCTAAAAGTTTTTTTATTTTATATAATTGTATAAAAATTATTTTTTTCTTCATATTATTTATGCATTGTTATATTTCTTTAGAATAATTTATTTGTTTTTCAAACTTTTAAAAATATTAATTTGTACAATAAATCTTATCTATTGTGTTGAAAGTTTTGACTGTACTAAACAAATTTATAATTTATTTTTCTGTTACATTGTAGAGATTTGTAATTAACTGTTATCCATAGAAATTCATTATTGAAATAAATCTTAACTGACCTGAAATGTTTAATTTACAAAATTTTTGTGAATGAATTATATATTTATTCATTAATATTAAGAATTTTTAAATTTATACATAGTTGATAATTTATTATCTGTTTTTGTATAAATATTTGAACATTGATTTGTGAATCTGCTAAAATTTTATAGCAAATTGATAAGTGAAGTAATTATGATTGTTAATAAAATAATAATGAAGTAAAATTAACTGAAGAGCAAAGTAACTGATTATTGAAGCTTTGATAATTGTTTTAGAAATAGCTTGCTTATCTAAACTACAAATTTCTATTAGGTTATTATACTCTTTATTGCATAGGATGTAGTAAATATATAAATTAATTAGTTAAAAAAAATAAAAACATAATAAAACATGCCTAAAATGGAATATGAAGTTATGGTTACAATCTTCCATTTTATACAAGATAACATTTTTTAATACTTTTTTGCATTTCTCAATGTTTCAAGGTTCCCTGAGACCAAAAGATTTTTATGTTGAAGAGGTAGGGTAATGTTTTTAAAATAGTTAAATGATCTCCATATTTTTACAAGTAATTACTGTATTTAGTAATTTTATTTACATCTGAAGAGTTAAAGGTAATGGTAGCAATAATTAGAGATGATAACAAATAAAGAATGCAAAGAAAATTCAGAAACAATGCAAAGTGATTATTTATTACCTTGACCACAAGGAATATACATTGAATCCTTGACAACTGGCTAATTATTTTTTCACAAGATTCTCAATATTTTATAAGTTATGCAAGATTTTCTTTTATATAAAATAAATAATTTTAAATAAATACGAGATTAATATTTTAGAATAAAGAAAATATAGTAAAAATATTTTAATGGAGTTGAATCACATTCGTACTCTATTTAGTTTTATATTTTCAAATAGATTGTTTAAAAACTCCAGCAACAAGTTACTTAACTTTCCCAGTAACATTTAAAATTGTGTGTGTTGTGCAATCTGTCTGATATTTTATTATTAAAAACTTTTTATATCTTTAATTATAAAATGGCAGAAAGCATAATTTTGAGGGTAGGGACAGGTTTTATAAAGGTGGGATGCTACATTGTCTGATCATCTGTACTAATCGTGTCTAATGTGACTACAATAATTTTTTTACAGTAGATGTAGAATTTTACACATGTTTTTATCAATGATAAAAATATGTATAATCAGTAATTTAATAAATAATCATTTGATATCTTTGTTTTATGATGCGTTTCTTTTAATTTTGCTGAGATTAAAAACTAATAATTAAATATAATGTACATGTAAAAACAAAATACACACTGATTTTATTTTTACATATTTATATTATTATTATTTAAAAAATAATGAATGAAATTCTGTTGTTTGCATTTTTAGAAGAAATTCATTTCCTGTTGATAAGATTTATTATTTTTTTACAAAAATATATATCATTAATATTACTGTGTTAATTAAAGTTATTCTACTAGAGAATGAAATAAATAAAAAGATACTCGTGTTCTGTAAATTTTTTATATTTTGGTACGATGATATTTGAAAGGTCAAGTTGGCAACTGTGGTTCTAACCCCTCCAATTCGAAATTGAGTTAATGGTACTGTTCTTTAAAGTATTAAATATACTGTCTCTAAAGGGTGAAAGATTATTACAGTTCTGATTAAGTATTGATGAAAACAAAATAAATAGACATTCAGAAACTAGCATTACACCTTTACATTAGAAAACTAGCTAAACCTTTATATTACAATATTAGACTCAGCTTTTAGAAAACAGGTTTACACCCCTCAGCCTTTCATTTTTACTAATTATAAGTTTTTTAATAATGGAAATTATTCTGTTAAATAATTAATAAGTCTTTTCAATAAGAATTATAAAATTTAATTCTTAATAAAAATGAATGATTCAAATGAAAAAAAAAATCAAGTAACAAAACATTTGATTTTTTTTACATCCAACTTATTTATTTTATTTGTTTTGTTATTTTTAAATCATTGTTAATTTATCTGGATAAACACATGTATTGTTATTAATTTAAATGTGTAAATATTCAAAATAATGTATAATTAAGAATTTATAATGAGTTTAGAGTAAATTTTTAATGAAGTAAGAATTTATATTTCTTTATAATTGTCCAAACAAGTAATTTATTTAGAAAATTGTTAATTCTATAAATTAATGCAACCTATTTAAATAGTCAAACACCATTAATTTATTATTTTTACCACTTTGTCCTTTTTACATTTTTTCGTATATATTATCTACTTAGACTTTGTTTATTAATAGGACTTATAATACTGGTGAAGTTTCTGATTAGCAAGGAGAGGCAATCTTAATCAAAAGTCAAAACAAAATATCTTTAGCAAAGAGATCAGGTAAAAATAATCAGAAACTTCACCAGTAAAATAAGTCCTATTAATAAATAAAATCCAAGTAGACAATATATACACAGAAATCCATTAATTTATATATATGCCGCAGTCGGATTGTTAAAATAGCCGCTTTACAAAGCATATAGGCATTTGATTAAATGCACCATTTTATAATAAGGTTAACTATGTTTGGCCACTTTACAAAGAGGCTAAACCAAATCCTGCCAGATTGAATGTCATTTCATGTTTTATAATATGGCTGGCCAAATGATTAGCCGCTTTATAATGTGGCATTAGATAAACTGCCAGGTTGTCATATTTACTTCAGATTTTTATCACTTGAGGGCTAAGCACTGTTGCCAGATTTGACTGCCAAAATGGGCTACTCTTGTTTTAGTTTATTGCATAAAAACCGTTCAGCACATTGCTTTCTTTTTGGGCTACAAAGATTTGACTTGGCAACATAAATTATTTTATAGTTTGTTTTGGTCTAGAAAAGCAATACTTATTTCTATTCATATCACCTTTAGATGTATTTATGTAGTAAAATGGGGAAAATGGGCAAAGCATAATTGGATTTAAAGAAATCTTCTTCTCTTTATTTACGTTGTGATTTTACAAAAGTTATTCTTAATTATAATAAAATATCTAAAAATAAAAAATAAAAACATGTATTGCTGTTAGGTAAAGATTTTAAATGACCAATGAACAGTTAAGTTGATTAGTTATTATAAATTATTATATTATTTCCTAAAAGCAGGAAGTAATTCAAATACTGTACTTTTTTTATAATTTTCAAGTTTATAAATAAATAATTTTCATTATGCAATATATGTTTTTTACTTCCTAATATTTTCGTCTCCAACCTTAGTGAATAATTCACATTTTAGTAGAAGCCAAGATTTCTGCATTTTTTACAGTACAGCTAAACGTAGCCAGCCACATTGTAAAAACACAATATAATGACAATCAGCTGAACATTAGTTAGCTTTATTACAAAGTGGTGCTGTTTAATCAAACGGTTAGATGCTTTGTAAAACGACTAAATTAACAATCTAGCTGTGACACATATATATATATATATATATATTATTTGCTCAATTAATCAGTTTCAAATAAACCCCAGGTTGAAAGGCATGAGAAACACATTGAAGTACTGTATTTTATAGGTTAACTAGCTGTTACCCGCGACTTCGCCCACGCGGATTTTGCAAGCGAACACCATTTATATTCAGTATTTCAACAACCATAGTAATTGTTATATAACACCTACCACTGAGAATCAAATGAACTGTTTTCAATTTGATCAATTTTCTGGAATGTTTACAATCGTTCTATAATCGAACCAATATGCATTAACAAATTCGAATTTAAAACAGTTCAAACATTTGGTTAAAAAATCGAAATATATAAAAATATTTATAACAACGTCTGAAATGTTGTCAATTTAATACACCTAACTACTCAATGAAGACTAAATGTAGTTGTAAACAAAAAATTGCATCTAAAATAGTACAGTATAAGCTGTTTTTTCTGGTTAAGCCTTAATGCTCTCCCTCTCCCCCGCGGGGAAATTTTGAAAAATCCCTTCTTAGTGTGCATTCCCATGGAGTACCCTACTAAATCGCAGTTAAAAACAAAAAATCGCATCTAAAATGGTACAGTAGAAGCCATTTTTCTGGTTAAGCCTTAATGCTCTCCCTCTCCTCTTGTGGGGAAATTACGAAAAATCCCTTCTTACTGTGAGTTTTCATGACATACCCTAACTGTGTGCCAAATTTCACCTCTTAAGGTTCAGTGGTTTGCCCTGGGCGATGATGAATCAATCAGTCAGAACAAGTAAATTTATATATTTAGATGTAGCTTAGGGTTACAGAGAAGGAATTTAACTAAAATTTCCTCTCTCCAAATTGTCTAGAGTCAGATAGCACTTTCTATTCAATGTACAGTACATGGGAACATTTTATGAAATAAAATTATAAATATTGTTGAATATTAAGAGTGGGAAGGCCACAATTGAATTTATAATGTCATATCAGCCAAAAGATAATTAGGAAAACTCAAATTGTAAGTTTAAATGAGAAGATGGTAGTCAAGAACCTAATTCTACAATGACATTGAAACAAACACAAATGACAATATAACAACCAAATTGAAAAAGGCTGTATATGGTTAATTATAAAATTAGTAATTATTTTAAATGTTGTTGTTGTTGTAACTCATAAATATAGTCAATAAATGATTGTCTATAATACAGTGATCAATAGCCTTTAATCCAGCAAATCAATAAATTGAATAATGTTTTTGGCAGCATTTTATCGATCATCTTCAGATTAAAAAATAATAATGGTTACGCAACAGAAGATGAAGTAATCAAATCAGCTGGAATATTTATAATAAATAACTAATCCATCTTTAATTTCCCAATATTTTTTCTGTTTCAAACAAGTACTTTTAATCTTTTTAAAAGATCACTTTCAGGTTCAGTGAACATTATAACAGAATATTATACATTTCAATTTATTGATTTGCTGGATTAAAAGTTATTGATCACTGTAAATGGCTTCTAACATTAATTTGAACAATATTTAAGTAAGATTTGTACACTTTGTCATTTAGTTGTATTGTAATAAAACATTAAACTTTATGGTAGTTTTGGGCCACTCTAAATAAAATAGAAGTTTACAAATATTTGTGAAAAATATAAAATTGTAAATGTTTTTAATATGACGATTGAATGTTATCTTTTACTTAATATAATCATTATATGTTAAAATGTTTATCATTTAAAAATGTTTGACATAATTTTTGCAATTAATATGTATAAAACTATAAATGTATTATAGCAGCCTTAACAGATAGTTGTAATGAGGCATTAGTCAGATAATACTGATATAGATGATGTAGATACCGATTACATTATCAAAAATATATATAGATAACAAAGCCAAATTATACTACAATCAAATGAGGGAGTCTTCTAGCCACTAGTTANCACCTACTGTATTAATCTTCATCTTATTAAAAGAAGCAAGAGAGACTATCTGACAGTTTGTGAAAGTTACTAACATTGATTCTTTATAAATGAGATGTAATTAACTGAAATTTTTGAGTAATTATAAAAGAGAATTCTGTCAACTGAGTGAAAAAGTTCAGCTGCTGGATGCTTTGCATGTTATGACTGGTTGTTGCTGTTCTCTAATTTAAGGACAGAAATTTTTGAATTGAAATTATTTCCTTTGGTTATTATTTAGAATTGATAGTAGGTAAATTCTCTGTAGTCTGGTTGCTTTGTATTTTATTTGTTGTGGAAATTATTGATGGTGGTGTTTTTTTCACTATAAATTTGTGAAATATATATCTGCAATTTGGGAGAATCTTATCTGACAATTTGTGAAAGTTATTAACATTGGTTCTTTATTTTTGGTTCTGTAATCAGTTGCTTATTCCTATTATTTAAATATTTTGGATAGTTCTCCCCAAGTTAATTTTCAGTAATTTATTTACAAAATTTGAAGACTAAACATAAAAACAGAGACATTTTGGAGTCTTTGTCTCATCTATTCATAACTGTCGGAACACAATTAACAATAGCAGAGTTGACATTTCTGTAAAGTCTCTTCTTTACCTATTGTATGCAAATGTTTCAATACACATTGTCTTGGATTTTTTAAATTATTATTTCTACAACTGAATTTGTTACAAGTATCTGATGCCATAGGAATTTTTTAGATATTATAATTTGCAGATCACTCTTGACCAAAAAGTTTTTTTTTTTTTTTTAATTAATTCTTAATAGAATTTTGATATTTCCAGGTCCACATCTTGTATTAATTACAAAAAAATCAAAAGTAGGTGAGATTAATGGTCAATCAATATGGAGAGTAGAAGATACTGAAACACATGCATATGCACGAGCTTCATTGCATCTCACTGAAGATCAGGTCTGTAAAGTTAAAAACTAAAGATTTTATTTAAATTAAAAAATTACACTTTGTAATATAAAAATATTCACTAAGAGGTTGACTGCATTGTAACAGCTGTTGTACACAATTTAATTTTTCTTAATTATTTTCAGAATCAATATGACAAACAGTACCTATCGATGATACAATCTTTTCTTCGGACTCCATACTTTTATTTTTCCACATCTTATGATTTGAGTCACACAGTTCAACGATTATACAACACTAGTCCGGATTTTCTTCAAATGCCATTGTTTGAAAGAGTAATTATTTTGGCTTTATTCCTTACAATTAAATTTGATATAAAAGACAAAATCTTAGAGTAAAGATCTATTAATGATTTTTTTAGGGGGATCAAAGATTTATTTGGAATCATTATCTAATGAGGGACCTTTTAGCACAGCAAGAGGTAAGTATTCTAATTCATTTGGTTGATTTTTAAAACTATTTTTTTAATCTCAGAATTTTTTGACAGTTACATCGATACTGGCTGCCGGTAATTCATGGCTGTATCCTTATTTAAAAATTTTGAAATTTATTTATGGATTTTTAAATAAAGTTTTCAGATAAATAAAATTTTCAACAAGTTATTCTAAATCCATTAGAAGTGTTTGAGACCCAATTGATATATTGTATTTTTCTGTCTAACATGCATTCCTTTTGTCAGACTTGCTTCTCAAGTTACAATGCACTAGATTTAGATGGAAACTCAAAAATTCCTTTTACCACTTTATATTACCCTATCATTCCTTAGAGTTTTCTCCTCTTGACATATCGTGTGTGTTGTTTGGCTTTTTCTAGTTTCGATTTCATCAGTTGTGGTTCTATATTTTATTTTAGCTTTGACATATTGTTTTTCACAAGATTGCACAAACAACTTTTGTGTGTTCAGTGCAGTAGTACATTAAAATTGTCAGAAAACAGATTTTTTCTGACAATTTTAATGTTTTACTTTTTTGTTTTCGAGGTTTAAAAAAATCTGAGTGCACATTAGATTCAAGTAAATACGGTAATATAATATATAAATAGTTTCAATTTCATTAAAACTTTATTTAGTTTCCAATTGTAAGCATATAAAATTCTTACAAGAAATTTAGAGCTCACAATTAGAGACTTCTACTTTTAAAATCACAAAGTGATAATTTTATTTTTTTACTTATTACAGGATAATATTGGTATTTACATATTAACAAGACATCCATCTGTATAAACATTTGAAATTTCTTTCTTGTTTTATGTTTATTATATTTATTAAATTACTACATTCTCATTGTTCATTCATCTACATGTTCAAATATCTTCTTCTCTGCTTTGATTTGGGTTTTTGAGGAGCAAGAAATACTTTTTAGGTGATAAATTGACAGCATATAATGGATAAATGAAAATATGAAGGAATGAAGGACTTTGTGTAAATTATTGTTCAAGTTTTTATAAAATAATTTCTGTGTAAATATATATTTGGGGGTATAAGCTGTTTGTCTCTTCATTTAAGTTTATTGAATTTGTTTTGTTTAAAGACACTGAACTTTTAACTAGCAATTTTTCAGCTGGAATGTGCCGGTATATCATATGGACAGGTATCATAAAAAGTATCAATAGCTGGGACTATGTACTTCACCAGCATTGCTCAGTAAAACAACTCTATATTTTCAGTCACATACATGTATACCAGTAGTATTTTTTTTAGAAAAAGAGCACTGAATATATTCACAAAATAATATATCACAGATTATTTCAGTATCATTTAATTTCTGAGATCTTTGATTCTGGTAGGTGAGAAATGGTTACATTACACCTTCATCCATGCAGGACAATAGGATTTTGCAATGTAACACCTTCATCTGCTCCTGTCTTATTTCTGCAATATATACTTAATCAAATATTATCTGTTGTATATAGATAATAGACACTAAATATTTCTAATTCATTACAAAATGAATATTGATTTAAGGTGTTTCTACAAAATCATAAGTACCATTCATTTTCAAAAATAATGATTTTTTTAAAGATATAATTTTAAAGACTTTTAAGGTTCTTAGAACAGTAATAATAGAAAGATTTGTTTAATGCTAAACTTTACATAATTTTCTTTGTAAATAATCAAATTTTGTTTGTTTTTGACGAAGATAATTTTCCTTAACTGTATTATAGTTATATGTATAAAGCAATGTATTATTAACCAACATTCTTTTTCATGGATATTAATATCAAGGAGAAGTTGCTATCGTGCAGGAACACGTTTATTTATGCGAGGCGTTGATACAGAAGGACACGTGGCTAATTACATTGAAACGGAACAGATTGTAGAATACGATGGTTGCAAAAGTTCATTTGTACAGGTAATTATTTTTGTAGTAAATACAATTTTACATAAAATTCAACTAATATAACTAATGGATATTATAAAATAAAATGTGTGACAAGCAGAGGGCTAGGGGTTAATCCCTCCTGCACAGGCTGGTAAAACCCGGTCTCAGAGTCGATGGATGGCTAGGAGGGCAAAAAGTGAGTGGGGAGTGCATCGGTAAGCCGGCAGGCGTCCTTTCAAAGATAGGAGACAGGTTTAACAAATAAACAATACATTTATTGAAGTACTAAATCTAAGTTACAGGAGGCGAAAATAATACTAAGGTTATTGTAATGCGGTTATCGTATATGCTATACTATTTACATAAAATGGGTGACTAATCTCGTAACTATTTCGCTGACCTAACTTTAAGGTGAGAGAGAGTGATTTTACAAGTTCAAAAATATCCCCTAAATAGAGAGATTGTGGGCAACGTTTTCATTGCGAAAACATGTAGGTCGGACATTCAGCACCGTCTTCCTGTAAGTCTAGAAGTTTGACAATGGCATTTGATGTGTCGAGCATGATTCGAGCATGATTCTACTAACGTTCCAAACGCCATTTTCAAACTTCTAGGCTTATAGGAAAATGGCGTTTGGAACGTTAGTGGAATCATGCTTGACATATCAAATGCCATTGTCAAACTTCTAGGCTTACAGGAAGACGGCACTGAATGTCCGACGTACACGTTTTCGCGATGAAAACGTTGGCCACAACTTCTCTAATACCTCTCGTTGTAATGGAGAGTTGATATGGCGACGAATCTCTGTGTCTTCTCCGACGGGATCCAATTCCTTTGCATGGACATTGACTGGCAGAAGTACAGAAATAATTTCCGTGTGCAGACGCGTGCTGAGCTTCCAGGGGCTTGAGCTTTTATTCAGTTGTCGTGGGAAAGGAGTCACATGATCGTCAAATGTTGACAATAACAGTGCATTCTTGACACCTATGTGTCGACTTTCCCACCTAATTGTTATAACAAACGGTGACCTCAGATATAATTCTCACCAGGAGCATTTTTTCTATTGGAGTTGTTTACATTTGTTTTTTTTCCGACAACTGCGTTAAATTTGTGGATTTCACAAAAATATTTTCATTATTTATTGCCTAATTTAATATATAACTTAATGTTATATATTAAATTATTAAATTATTAAATTTAATATATAACTTAATGTTATATATTAAATTTAAATATAATTTTGATATTCAATTAATGAGTTTGAATCTGGAGTAAAAATGTTGCTTATTGATAAATTAATAACGAAACATTGATACTTTAAATAACTATAGTAGTAAGTGGCCAAGGTGGCAACCTACCACTCTGGGGTACCCGGGTTCGAATCTGAACGGGTCGAAAAATCCCCAGGAATTTTTCGCGGGGGTGGTTCATTGGGATATGTCGGGCCATGTCCCTCACCACCCGGCAGCCCCATTGTGGGCCTGGCCGAACCCATAATGGGCTTGCAAAAAGAGGTCCTCTTAGTGCCCACAGGGCAGAGAGAGTTAAAAAAAAAAAAAAAAAAAACAGGTTAGTTCAGTCAATCAATCAAAAAAAATTGACTGATCAATTACTTAAAATCATGCCAAACACTTAATTTTCTGCACATAGTTTGTGGGTGCAGCACAAGTCACAACTTGACTGGCATTTAATAGTAATTTAATTTTATTACTAAACAATCAGCACAACAAATTTTCAGGTTACTTTAGCTCTATACACCATATACCACAGATGATTANCGGCAGCCCCATTGTGGGCCTGGCCGAACCCATAATGGGCTTGCAAAAAGAGGTCCTCTTAGTGCCCACAGGGCAGAGAGAGTTAAAAAAAAAAACTATAGTAGTACAGACCAGTCTATAATCTAGATTGAATTTCCAGAAATTTTCATTAGTGGTTTGATTTAGTTATGTTAGGCCAACCCCTTCCTCCAAGATGGATTGTAGGCTTAGCCATGGATTAGTTAATGAATTGAACAAATTATATATAATATGAAACATGCGTTAATAATATAACATAGTGTATATGCTTAAAAGAAGATTGTTTATATTTTTTTTATTATTAATTTTTTAGACAAGAGGTTCTATTCCATTGTTTTGGAGTCAACTTCCAGATCTTAGGTACAAGCCAAAACCAACATTAAGTACTACTAACAATCAGGTAAGTTTCTATAAAACATTTTATTTATATTGAAAAACTCAATATATACATAGTATATAAAGCTTTATATCAAAAAAATAGTATCAATAGCTGGGACTATGTACTTCACCAGCA